AATTAATAATAAATTCATTTAAAACTTAATAAATAATTGGTCCGAAATTCCATTGATTTGTCGTCCCTGGTCCGAAAGTTTGGGCCGAAAAATCGTGGGGCCGAAATTCATGTAACCTAAATAAAACAAAGGTTTTTGTTAAATATTTTTGTTAAAGAAATGAAAAGAGAGAAGAAACTACGGTATGTTTAAAATATACTCTATCCTAATGAACATATTAGATCGTTTACGTATAAAAAAATTTGATCTAAAAAATTTCTTTATTGTTTCTCCATAGCAAACTTTTCAAAGTGAAAACTTTTTCAAAATTTTTTCGGAGCGCGCGCTCGTGCAGAAGGGTATGTTCTGCACCTCTGAATTTGCTATTGGGAGTGATTCGTTTGAAAAACTGTGCCTACCCTGCAATGAAATCGCTCCGCCGCCCATGCTCGTGGGGCTGTCCAAAAATCGTTCAGAAAGCGGGCTGTTCATATCAGAGGGGTGCTATACAAAAAGCACTGATTTTCAATTGAAATAACATATTTTCATCTTTTACTATCAATCAATAGATTTTTATTCATTAAATTTGTATAGTACATATATGAGATGAAAAAATAAAGTTTTAAGTACGTGGATCAGGTGCATACTCAAGGTATTCTAAGGTGGATCTTTGTTTTGATGAATTGGAATCAAGAGAAACATCAGTCAGTTTTTATTATTAATATCTTGATTAGATTCATTTTTGAACTTTCTTTTTACTTTTTTATTTACGTTCAGTTCGTAATCATTTGTGTACTCTAATTTTCTTCTTAGCATATTTGATACAGCTTCAATTGAAATATTTAATTTTTCACTTAATGATCGATAAGAAAGCTCATTTTCTTTCTCTTTTAGAATATTTATTTTTTCTTGTAAACAAGGTTCGTTACAAGTTGCCTTATTTAATATTTGACATAAACATACAAGACGTAGTTCACTTATGTATAGACAAGATGAAACTTTTTTTATTTATTTCGTTTTTTCTGTTTGAACCAATCACAAAACTAGTCAATGGAATACATCGTGTTAACTCAAAGTTTAACGGCGCCATCTATATTGTTCACATTACAGGGTAAAATATACGTGTGGTACCAAAAAGAGCGTTCACATTTAGAATCGCGTGGTTTTTACTATAGAGGGGATCAAAAGTAGCAAAAATCACTTGGACGGACCGCAGGGTGTTCATAATGACAAGTTTTTTAGATTAGAGGCGTGTTTATATAGAGAAGTTTTACTGTAAATAAATTTCGAGGAATGAAAACATAAAATCAATATATTTTATATACTTTCGCTGATGGTGGAAATTATTATTCATAAACTATATCAATAAAACGCTGGTATCAATGAATAGTACTCTCTTATTTTGTATTATGTTTACTGTATTAGGAGTAGCAGAAGTACTTAGACCATACTCTAAGTTTTGTTGAGTTCTTTCTTAAATCTTTCGTATTGAACATAGTAATCATCAATACGTCTATGTGGACCACAGTCCCATGGAACAATAAAACAGAGACAAACAACATTTAGAACTGCAGTCAAGAGAAAATTCAGTTATAGGATTAAATCAATTTAATGTAGTCGACAGCTACATTCACATCGTACACACATCAAAGATATGCGACAGTCGTATGTTTGACTCTCTCTTAATATCAAATGCCAATTAGTTCTCTTATTTATTGAAGAAGAAAAGGTATTAGTGAAGGACATTAAAACAGAAGATTTCATACGAAATAGTTTGTGTCATTTTCACTTTTATAAAGTAGTAAGAGTGAGAAGGGGAATATCAAGCCCGCCAAACGATGTTTTAGCGCTTGAAACCATCTATTGGATAAAAATGGTGACTCGGATGTACCCTTGGAGCTTTGGTAATGCAGTCTATGCAAAGGTCATAATGTTTGTCGGCGAGTTTGAGGCATTCATGGCACGTAAAACGACGAGTCCGATTGTATAGTCGACAGTTATCACAGCGCCAGCCACGCTGAAGTTTTACCGGGAACGCCGCTGGCCAGTGTGTCATTGGTACCATGAAGGGCGATGCTATTAGTTGAGACCCTTTAGTTTCTAGTTCTGGTGATGGTGATCGTGATCGTGATTTTGATCGTGATTTTGATCGTGATTTTGATCGTTCCATGTTTTAGAATGATGAACCAAAAGCTGATATAGATGCTTGATGAATCGAGCAGATGCTAATCGGATACAGACGAACTTATAGCAAGGATGTTTCTACTTTACAGTAGATTTATATAGCAAATATGAAGTGAATGTAAATGTAAATGAAATGAAATGAAATGAATGTATACGCAAACATGTAAATATAAAGAAACGCGTAAATCATTGATGCATGACTACACATCATATTAGGATTTCGTCTGCTCGAATAATATTTTTTTAGGTAAATATTGTTTCTGTTTGGAAAAGATTTTTTTTTCGTATTATTTGAATGCATCTCTTATTGCCTTGTCTATCATTAATATACGTGAGTCATTGCGTCTGGGTTTTTTCTTTTGAAAGCAAATACGAAAACAAATAATTATTATTGATCATCATTGATTTCGTCCGATGAGAGCACATTAACGATAATGAATATTGTCATTCAAGCATGGAACGTTGGAAAAAATTAGTTCAATTTGGTTAGAAACTAGCTGTTACTGCCAGTAGAGGTCATTCTATTACTGCTAGCTGTTCAGTGATGCGTTATTGGTTTTTCCTCTCTCTCTCTGTATATATATGTATGTATGCATGTTGTAGGAGAAATTAAATTCCAGGGGAATTTAAAATTCCCCCTAAGGGGAAATTAAAATTTTAATTTCGCCTATAGGGAAATTTTAAATTCTCCTAAATAGGAACAAATACATAGTTATTTTTATTCACATCTATCTGAGTGTGTGGATGTTGGTATGGGCGTGAGTGTGGGCGAGTGTGGAAATGAGTAAGCCCGTCCGCCGAAATGTTTTTCAGGGTGGGGGGGAGGGAAGGACTGACGACTTTGTAGGAAAGTCCGTCACAGAAAAAGGTTATTCCAAATTTTTAAAAATTGTTCATCTCGTACCTCGCTCCAGGTATTTAAATCTTTTTTTTGGGAAGGGATTCGATCCTTTCAATCCTCCCTCTGAGAACGTCCCTGGATATGGGTATGCATGTGGATGTGAGTGCGGGTATGTAAGGATAGGTGTGGATGTAAAAGCTAGGTGAACACAATGTCCACACTTAAATTCACCTACACCCACACACTCAGATAGATGTGAATCAAAATAACTATGTATTTATTTCTGTTTAGGAGAATTTAAAATTACCCTATAGGTGAAATTAAAACTTTAATTTGCCCTAGGAGAAATTAAAATGTTCGATTTTACTTCATAAAATCATAAGAAAGAAAAGAATTTCAATCTCCCCTATAGGTGAAATTAAAATTTTAGTTTCCCCTTAGGGAAGTTTTAAATTCCCCTGGATTTTAATTTCTCCTACAACATATATATCACTTTATATTCTCTCTCAACATTCCAGTGATTATCTTCCCTCTTGTTATTCACTTAATTTTTCTTGGTCTTATTGTTTTCTCTGATTGTTATCTCATCTTACTTCTTTTCTCTCATTATTATTATATTCTTCCTCTCATCTGTTATTCCTTATATTCTCTTCTTCTTTTCATAAGAATAAACAGGTTATTATTATATGATTCTTTCTATATCTTCCTCATCCATATATATATTTTTTTATAAACCGCTTTATTTCAGTGGCTGGACTATTGATCCTGATCGCGTGTTGAAAGAAAATTAAATACTATTTTGAGCAGCTACATATAAGAAAATTGAAAGGAAAACAAGGGCAGATTAAATATTGACTTTTAAAAGATGTGACTGTTGATTAATTTATTAATTTTTTCTTCTTGTTGTTATGACTCTTCTGTGGTATGATGTTTATTACAGAAATTGATGAATTTGTCGAGGTATGTTGTGGAGTTACTGTAGAAGTTTAAAATGCGCGTGTTGGGCCAACCTATTGGCACACTGTAAAAATTCTTGAAATTCCACTTTTCAGAAAATCGACTTTAAAAAAGTTCGAGCATTTTCAAATTTCCATTATTTATTTACCGAATTTTAAAAACTTCAAAATGCTTGATTTTCTAAAATGTAGAAATTCAATTTGAATTTCGAAAACAATTATTTACTACAGGAAAAGAAAATCAACACTGACTGTGAATAAAATTGATAAATCAACACTGATTGAGACTAAAATTGGGGAATCAATTTCGATTTTGACAAAATCATAGTATCAGATACAACATATTTTTGATTATTATTTTAAAAGATGAATTTATATAAGTGAGCAGCACATGAAATTCATAATATATGATTTGTGCTACAAAATAAATTAATATATTGTAGTCAAATGCAAGGATTTTTTTCTAAATTAAATTACTTTTCTTCTTTTTATTCCATTATTTGTGAAAACGAAATCACAGAGCAGATTTGCATACAAATAATAACTAGCTTTCACATCCTAATGATATAAAGATAAAACAATGCTTTGAATAAAAAATTCACAGTTTGTAAAGCTGCTTTCTCTAAACAACTATGATCTCATTTATTCGTGTATCTTGATAATCTGTTTGTCATCTACAGAACAATAAATTCATACATATAAATCTCAATTTTTGATAGAAACAAATATTTATTCTTGCTGCGATGTTAGTTGTTAGAACATCATTTGCCTATCTCCGAATCTATATAACTTTAGTCTTGTCACGAAAACATGGCTCACATCAGAGATGGCATCGATTCGGTTCAGTTTGAAAGAATTGATACCAATTAATATTTATTTTAGTTCATTAGTTTTCTTTTTTGGCAAAAAATGACAAAAAACCCTGCTAGAAAGTGAAATCACATCATAATCAGATGTCATTCGTAAATGATATGGTTGAACTATTTTCTGGTTGGATTAAAATATGAGCAAATTCTAATGCACACGAACAATGAATAAATGAATAATCTACTTCTTTTTGTGTACTCAAAAAAAGTGAGTACACTTCTAGAATCGGTCAGTGTGGCCGGCCGTCGGGCCGTCCGTCCGGCCGTATGCACGATAACGTTTGAAAGAATAGTCCGATTGAGCTGAAATTTTGTGCACAGTTTAGTCTTATCTAGATCTCGGTCGAGTTCGAACATGAGCCTAATTGGCTGGGCCATTCCTGAGTTATTGCAAAAATACTGATATTTCCCTATGATTTTTTTATATTTTTATTTTTTTGGAAAAAATAATTTAGTGCTGTTTACGAATGAAACCCCATGTGTTATATACCATTCAATAGAGAATTTCATGGGCTATAACATGATACTAAATTATAGGAATAAATGGGTTGCTCACAAGGTTGTCCCTGTCTGACAGGGTGGGTAAACTATAGAAAATTCACATATGTTAACAATATGGCAGCGCGATATTTGTTTGTTTTTCATATTATCAATAAAATTTTTTTTAGAGTAGATAGAACTCGTCAAGAGCTATAAAATGATGTAAAGTAATAGGGTATAATATGCTGTGTTCGATATGTCTTCAATATCACACTTACGAAAAACCATGAAAAAGTCATATATCTTAATAATGTGTCCGTGTGATATTCGTTTGTTCTCCATAGAGTGTACGTTATTTTTATGTACTCGAAAAGTGAAGTTCACGATACATTGATTTTGATCAATCTGTCTAAAAACGTTCATCCTTGAGCGCACTAAGGAACTGCCCCTTAGGCCCTGCGGATGCCCTCCTTTTGTCCCGTAGGACGCGGCGAGGAGTTAGTTCCGAAGGCTTTATTCATTTACATAAATGAAAACTTCTTTGCTTTAACTGAGTCGCTGTTCTTTTTATAAACTCATGTTAATTATATCAAAGTGCGGTACAAACTGTTGAGGATTATTTCGAAAGGGTAAAAGAGCATCATAATGAATACCATTATAGTAAACACAAAATCCTAGTTTATTCCTGTCGGATTTGTATCCTGTATATTTTAGATGACCACCTGCTGTCCCTTTATTAAATCGATCGATTAATTCCTGTAGACTAATGTTCGAATGAATATATTGTGTACGTTCTGGATCGTTAATAAACTTAATATATGAATAGATAGGATGAGAGAGAGCCATAGAGAGCGCCTGAATTTGAACTTCTCCACCCCATTTTGTATTCGTAGCAGTTTTTATCAACTGTTCCTCAAATGAATACCACAATACTGTACAAAGTCTTTGAAAATAATCGCTATTATTCAGCATTGCATTGACTGCCAACAATCTCATCGAATGAGTTAGTTTTTCAGATCCTATATGCAATATAGAAAGGGAACTATATAAACAATTGCCATCTGCAGTCGTGCAAGTTCTAGCATAAACTGAATCGAACGCTTGAACAGAATATTCTGCTGATATTAACCGAACGGATTTGTCTCTATTATATATGGTTATAAATGGTAATTTTTTAATCAAGTCATTGATTATTTGAGTTTGACTTGAAATTTGATTAGAATCTGTAATATTATCAAACTCAAGTGCACAAAGAAAGTGATTTAGAATCTTTCTTGACTTTGAATCAATGATTTCGTAGTCTTCGGAAAAAGATTGTTCTTCAATTTCCATCATATCAGATGGATCATTAACTTTAAGATCTTCCAATTGAAAAGACATATCTAAGTCAATTTGTTCGTTTTTATCGACTGTTTCATGATGATCGGAGGAGAACTCCTCGTCGACTTCCATCACGTCAGATTGATCATCAATTATAGCATCATCGATATTGAAAAGCGTATTTGTATGAATATCTTCGGTTTCATCAAAATGAAACTTACTCACAACTTCATGTTTTCTTATCCATATTGGTTTATGAAAACTTGTAAGACTTTCAAAATAATCAGACTTTAAGCCTTTCACATTAGTAAAGCAACAATCAATCTGTGTTTTTGCATTAGTTGAGCTTTTATTTAATTTATTAATCAAATTAAATCCGAATGATTTCATGTATTCAATAAATTTGTTATTGGTTTTGACTTTCAAATTTATATTAAAATCACCAACGACAATTATATTTTCACAAAATCCTTTTGAAATAGTTATCGCTTCATTCATATGTCGCTTTAAGACATCAAATGATGAATTTGGTGAATTGTAAACGGAAATAATACAAATATCATCAATTTTTATTGAAGAATATTCAATATGGTTTTTGCCTGAATATTCATATTTTTCGGTGATATTTTCATATGTCAAATCATTTTTTAAATAAGTAATTTGACCGAATGGTTTTCGTATATCATTGCAATCACGTCTGTGAATTATTTTAAAACCTTCAATCTCCAATGAGTCACTAGGTTTTGTCCATGTTTCAACAAGACTTATCATGGAAGCAGATAAAAATGTTTTGTCAGATCTGACATCGAAAATATGTTTATTCAACGATTGTACATTGTGAAACATCACGAAAAATCGTTCTTCTTGAGATTCTTCTGGAAATTCAAGTGAAAATTTGAGCATTCGTTCAGATCTCATATTTTTAAACATCATCGCTACTGCATCTTTAGGTTCAGGTGGTTTTGGTGGAACAAAATCGCCAATTAAATATAAACCAATTGATTTTGTTGCACGACTACAAGAGACGTATAATTCAGATCTTGTCATCCCTTTCTTTAGATTGACAACAACTTTTTCATAAGTACCACCTTGACTTTTATATATAGTCATAGCTTCACAAGGAACTAAAGGAAACTGTTTACGCTCTACTTTGAAATTAGTTGATTTTGTATTTATTTGTCGTACTACTGGTTCAACTGGTGTGAGACTGAGATCAATATTTCTATTTCGCATTACATTATGAAAGTTAGCTCTAGCCTTTCGTCCAGTCTTCTCTTCATTAAATTTAATCCATAGTCGACATGGTACTGTTTCATTTGTCTTTTGAAGTTTTCCATAATCAATCGCTATCAATTTTCCACAAGCACCATTTACTAATCCATCTTCAATATCAATATTCACTGTCATCATATACTTAGCGCCCACTTTCAAATCAATTTCAAGTGGTAAACCGTAAGTTTCAGTTGTTTTCAGATTCTTTACATTATTTAGAACTTTTTCTCTTATTGATGGAAGTCCATCACCAACACAATAATCATAAGCATTAGCGATTGCACCTTCGGTATTAAGTCTAGACAATACTATTCTATTATATGCATCAACTTCAGCATTACTTCTAAATATTCTTATTGCATCTCCAATCGTTTCTAAATTTTCAGTTGAAACAATTCGTGACTGTAACAGATGAATATCTTCAGCTGTCATCGTTCCTTTAGCTAAGTTACTTAATGCAATGGCAAAAGTTTTATCATCCTTTTGTCTCATTATTTCTGTCAATTCAAACAATTCAAATAGTGACCATAATGAACTATCTACTAAAGCATTATATGAATTATTAAACTGGAATATGTATTTATCGCCAACTGGTCTTAATTGATTGAAATCGCCTAAAACCATGACTGATATTCCACCAAATGGCTTTTTTGTTCTCATTATTTGCTGCAAACGTGCATCGATGTGCTGAAACATTGTAAAACCAACCATTGATATTTCATCTATTATTAATAATTGCAAGTCTTTCAATTTCACTCCTATTCTGTTCGAAATATCGCTATTTAATTGAACGAGTTTATGTTTGCATTGATTAACTGGTAAACTTAAAAATGAATGTAAAGTCATTCCATCAATTAGTGCTGCAGCTTTACCAGTTGGCGCACAGAGTGCAGTACGAATAGTTTCTGGATTACATCCAGGAAGAGAATTATAAAATCTCAGTATCGACTGATATATTGCTTTGATCAAAGTACTTTTTCCAACGCCTGCGCCGCCATTAATAAAATGAAAAAATTGCTTATCTCCATTTTTTATCAAATTCATCACATTCAAAGTATATCTTCTTTGATTATTATTGAGACTTCTCATCATTTGCTGATATTCAGTATCTGGTATTACTTTGGGAACATTAAAATTCTCAACTTTTTCAGTTTGGGTCTTTAGTCCCATTTCAACAAAGATATCGCCTTCATTATTTCCTATTTCATAAATAAGGAATTCATTCTTATCTTGATCATATTCAATATTTGTATCATCAATATCATTCTCATCTTCTCTTTCCATATGCTCTTCAAAAGCTTTTTCAAATTCACTGGCTTCACGATGAACATATTCAGATCTTTTCTGTTGAATTAAATCTTTATGTAATTCAAATGTCTCTTCATGGTTTATAGATAGAAGATCTTCTTCTTCATTACTCCATGGTAGAAAAAGCATCAACTGCTCTCTGTAGTAGTTTTCAGGATCTTGGTGTAACTTAAAGTATCTGTATCTTATTATTTTTTTCTTTGTTCTTTTTTTGATCCAACTTTTTCCATTTTTCATCCGGAAAGCAGTAATTTTTTCATCATTATCATTTTCAGTAATATCTTCATCATCAGAATTCTCTGCTATTAGAGCATTATCTGTTTTTCTCTTTGACACATTATACAAGGAAGCAAAATCAGCCAAACAAACATCTTTCATTTCGTCTGGTCTATTAACGTACATGTCAATTAAACCTTCAACAAAAACATCTTTTGAATCAGGCTCCAGTTTCTGAAGAATTTCATCTGATTTGAGCATAGAAATTCTATTTTCGGGTCTATTTGTATTAATAAATACAGTACTCCTGCTACTGACGGAAAGTGGAATACTTAAAATATGATAAACAGCTTCTTGTGCTGAAATTTCACTTGAATTCAAAAACTTATTTGCAATAACTCTAAGACGCTCTTTGACTGTGTGATTGCCTTTTTTTAGCTCGTTCAATGCTTCCCTTAGAAGCTTAGACATTCCATTTTCAGATTTGTTGATGTATTCAACACAGTACTTTAGGCATGCATATGGATCAAGAATATATTGAATGTCCATATTTGCTCTGTGCAATGACATTATCATTGGATTGTATGCATTGATTCGGGTCTCATTTGGAGCACGCTTTAAGAATACTTTCGCCTTTTTCAATCCAGCTCGAATCATTTTAATATACTGTTCTTCATTCATATTAATTTTTTTCAAAAATTCTTCAAAAGTTAATGAATTATCTTTATCTTTTGATATTCTGTCGAGTTCTTCTTTTACATTCTGTCTACTCTTACTTATCTCTTCACGTTCTTTTTTAGAGAGCTTTTCATCGTCACTAAATGGTTCTAATATCATCGTTTTACTCATCGGAAAATATGGAATACCAAAACGACATATTATACAACCGTTTAAATGTTGTTTACAAGTATGTGAGTGCTTATGACGTTGTAAACTGATAAGTTCTTCAGAACATTCGGTTGGCTGAGAACTAACCGAAATCAATTTATCGATAAATTCTACACATCTTTCAATTGATTCAGGATTATTTTTGTCATATTTCGGAGCATTCTTTAACCACAATAAAGCATGAACATGTGGTGAACCACGAACTTGAAATTCAGTTCTGACATATTTATCAACTAGTTCATATCCTTGAAATGGACCACAAGGAGCTGATAATATTTCCCATAAACATTTTAATTTATGTTCAAAATAGCGAACACATGTTACCGGATCTTGTCTTATCAATTCGCATCTCTTCTCATAGCTCAAATTTTGTGCTTCTTCTAATGTTATTACTTTATTTTCTAACACTTGAGTCAATATGACAAGAAGTTCTGACCACTGTGTTTCAGCAGCTGATAATGTTAAAAATATTGTTGCACATTCTAATTGCCTATTCATGGCCATAAGTTCTTTCTTTTTTAGTTCCCAGAATGCTGGTGAAGATCGATCAAATCTTAAGAATGCAAAAGCATCATCATTATGTACTAATCCATTTACATAATCTCGATTAAGCATTTGGTTAACAGTTACGTTTTTCGTATTTTTTGTTTTTCGCAAATTTATTGATATAGCATCAACGAATTTTCTCGTTTGTAGTTTCTTATATGTGAAAAAGAGTTTTGACACTCTACCACATCTTCTATCAAACATTCTTAATTCTGACTTAGCAATTTTAGCATACGTTAGTTTGACATTTTCTTTAATTTTTCGTTGTTTTCCACAATAGATTTTTGGAAATGTTAACTCATCGACTTTCAAGTCCATTAGAACAGATATCGGTCTGTTATTCTCACCTGGAGCAAATTTAATACCAGTATCATTTTGATCCTCGGTCTCATCATTCAACAACGTTTCAGTAGTTACTGGATTAATTGGTTTATCATCACTTTCATTCCAATTATCATCATGATCAGAGTCTTCTCCCGTATTTTCAGTCTCATTAAACTTTTTATCTTCGTTTTTCACTATGAAATTTTCTTTTTCATTGGGATACTCTTTAATCCAATCATTAGATATAACAATACCTTCATCCTTATATAGTTCTTGTTCAACAAGATATTTAATAGCTGTATGTACGACTTTTGGTCGAATGGTTTCATACATAAAAGCATTTTTATTTTTCATTTGTCTCATCAGTTTCAATTGAATCGTGTAAGTATCACTAAAACTTCTAGGTAATATTGAAACATTTGTATCGACGTTCATGGGAACATTTACTAAATTACCTTTGAGACCAAATTGTTTAGAAAAACCTAAAGTTCGAATCACCATAAAAGGAATTCTTGGTGATATCAATCTTTCTTCTAATTCAGTCAACGTTTTCAAGCAATCCGGTATTTCATAGAATGCTAAACCATTAGATAGAGCGATATTAGGTATTTTATTCGACATGATGTCCTTTCGACAAGTGGCACATAATTTAATGATCGCATGCTTTAGATAACAAACTGTATTGATAAATTCTGTTTTTAAGCCTTTGTTTGCTAACATCTCAATCGTATATTCTCTGATTGAATACGCAAACCATAAACCACCACAACAACTACAAATATGAGTAGGCCCTTCCTTTATATTTGATTCATAATTTGATTTCATAGCATCAAAATTATTTTTATATTTATCTCTACTGTTGTACATTCTTAGTGCATTTCTTCTTCTCTCTTCTTCTTTGAATTCATCATTTTGTCGTTCAATTTTATGAGCTTCGGCTCTTCGTTTATTTTCTTCTGTTCTGAATTCTTCATCTTGTCGTTCAGTTTTATGAGCTTCGGCTCTTCTTTTATTATCTTCTGTTTTAAATTCATCACTTTCTCGTGAAATTTTAAGAGCTTCTGCTCTTCTTTTATTATCTTGTGTTTTAAATTCATCGCTTTGTCGTTCAGTTTTATGAGCTTCGGCTCTTCTTTTATTATCTTCTATTTTAAATTCATTACTTTCTCGTGAAATTTTAAGAGCTTCTGCTCTTCTTTTATTATCTTCTATTTTAAATTCATCATTTTCTCGTGAAATTTTAAGAGCTTCTGCTCTTCTTTCATTTTCTTGAGTTTTAAATTCATTATTTTGTCGTTCAGCTTTATGAGATTTTGCTCGTCTTCTATTGTCCAACAAACGAAATTCATCGTTAGATCTTCTTTCTCTCATTATTTTTGCTCTCTCGACATTTCTTTGAGATATAGATCTTCGTTTTAGCTTCGGCATTTTTTCGAAAAACAAGCTTCTCACTTAAATTAGATGCGTGTATACGCTAAATACAGTCTCTACTTAGTGAGACACGTGTATATCTCTAGACTTAGTGAGATAAACAATGTAAACGTTTCTTTCGAGTCAAATCTTCGTTAAAACTAATGAAGATATACTCGATTCGAAGTAAGAAACTTTACAAAATCGAAAGGTTAGTAATTTGTTCTTAATAAAAAATTTAATTAAGATTTTTATTATTTATTTGAACAAAAATTTAATTAATGTTCTTTTTATTTATTTTAACAAAAAAATGTAATAAATGTTTTATTTATTTATTTTTAAACAAAAAATTGGATTGATGCTTATTATTTATCTGAAAAAAAAGAAAACAAACAAATGATTTAAACTTTTTAATACAAACAATTTTACTTAGAAACCAGGAAAGGTACCCGCTGCAAAAAACTTCTCGTACAGTTCGCGCTGCAAAATCGTTCTCGCACAGTTCTCGCTGCAAAAATCTTCTTGTACAGTTTCCACTGTAAAAACTTTCTCGTACAGTTCCCGCTACAAAAATCTTCTCCCACAGCTCCTGCTGCAAAATTCCTTTCGCACACTTCTCGCTGCAAAGACTTTTTCGTACAGATCCTGCTGCAAAATACCTAAATTTCAAGCACCTTCCGTATCCAACCTCCTCTCCACTTTTCTTTGTGTATACAGAAGTATCATAGACAGTTTGGTGACGTTAGCTATCATAGAACCACCTGAGTGAAATTCCACCCAGGCATCATCTTTAACCTCTCATCAGTATCGCCAACCCCTTCTCAACCTTCCATTGGACTTAGGGAACAGTCATGAGAAGTTTGGTGACTATAGTTATTACATAACTACTTGGGTGAAATTCCACCCACAGTCCCCCCCTCTCCACTCTTCAGACAGCCATGCGAAACCCTGTCGATTTTCTCTAAGATATAGGAAGCTTTATGAAAATTTTCATAATGTTGATTATCACAGGACTACCTGGGTGAAATTTCACCCACACCCACACCCTCCCAACCCGTCGACCCTCCTTAGATCCTATGGAAGCATCGTGGAAAATCTGATGATCGTAGCTGTTATAGGGACTAAATACATAACGAACAAATAGACAGATATTCTTCTTTATATATAGATGGAAATAGTTACTCAACTAAATTTCTGTTTGTTTTATATAGATTTTCTTTTATCTAGTTCACTATGAATTAAAACAAATAAGTATTTATGAGAAACACTTCTCTTTTTATTAAGTATTTATTAAACAAAAGATAACATGTTTTTTTCGTTAAGTATTTATTAAACAAAAGATAA